AATGGAGCTCGAAGTTTGAAGCAACTTGAGATTACCTACAACTCATTCAAAGAAAAAAACTAACCAAAACGAATCAACGGTATCTGGTCTTGAAGCAATTCTGTCGGCAAGCCTCTCGAGTGCTAAAATCAGAGAGATTTTGGAACTGAGATCCATTTGTGCCGTGCGACAATCGGCCAATTCGTTTGCCTGTTGATCAATTGCTTCAGCTGTTTGCATCACGTCGTGCGTACTTCCGCTCAGATCTGACCAAATCGACTGAAATGTTGCAATAATTTGCATCTTCCAATCAATCGCAATGCGAAAAAATCGAAAACAACCTCAATATCTTTGTTCAGTTTGTCGATTGTTTCTTTGAGTCCAACTAAATTCGAAGAGAGGTTCACAAAATCTGCATAGTCATCGTTGATCAATTCGATCATTGCATTTTGCACTACTTTCAAATAGACCCGTAGATCGTTGTGAATCTGCGCGAGTGTAGCACGACGACGAGCAAGGTTAACGAAACGATCCACATTGAAATCAGTTCGATTGAAATGTGCCTTCAAATTTGTTTCATCGTCACATATATGGACATATCCACATCTACAGAGTTCACTTTTTTTTGTTGAGAATATTTAATATCTTTCAGGGTTTTAGACTGAAACAATTGCAAACAAGATGAACGTCAGTATCACTCCTTTCAGCTACAGATGATGCTAGCAATTAATATGGGCTGATAAATCACTAAATGAAACAGTCACATATTCTCATTTCGTTAAAGTTAATTCCAAAAGTGAGTTCGGTCAAGCCAAGATTTGCTGGGCCGAACAGGGACTTGTCAGGTCCTGCCCGGTAAATCTTGGTCCAGCCCGGTTCAACAATTCAGCTTCGCCCATAAATCTTGGCCTGGGCCCTGAAATTCCGCACCTCCCCTTGAAAATCAGTCCGATGGCATAAATACACAATTTTCGTGTGCTGCTGGGAACGATAAAGGAGCAACATAAATTGGATCAGAGAAATTCAGTAAACCACAGGCTGACAAAATGAGTTGATAACCTTATTGAAACACAGATGCGAGTCATTGAGTGCGCTTGATGTCGACGATAGTAATGCATGTGATATTGAAGATGAAGTGGACGTCGTTCCCTTGGATTGTACTTCTGATGTTGTCATCTGAACTCAAAACATTAAAATTACATTATTCAAAAACTTTTTTGGCTCTTAAATGACTTCAATAAAGTGAAACAATTAGTAATCCTCAACAGATACAAGTACAACCTTTAATGTCGACGAATTTTCGTTTTCACTCATGATTGAATTTCAATTCTGAAATTTGTGATATTGAATTGGAATTCAATCCCGCAAATTAAGTAATTGAAGAGTGCATGCCCACAAAAACGGCATAATCACTGTGATGTTGATGTGGCAAGAATTTGACGTGGCAATTGGTTACAAAATGCTTTTTGCAAGCAAATTTGTGAGAGATCCGATATATAGACAATTCGCCAATGGAGCAGAATTGCCCTACAAAATTATATACTTTTCTAAAAGCAGCGAATCTGGGGAATCTGACAATGTGCGTAAAATAACGTGTTACTGGGAA